TAGAATGTTTAAAGGGGTGCAACTGTTTAAAAAAAAGAAAATGAATGAATATAATAGTCTTTAAATGACATGTCACTTGGGCTTATTCAAAGCCATTACTTATTTTATTAGTCCAGTGTTCCCAAACCTTTTATGACTTGTGACCCCACTTTGACTTCCCAAAACTCTGGGGACCCCGGGCATCCAAAACACACACAGCTTTTTGCTTAAATTATTATTTTGCAGGAAAACATTCTCAGGACGAGTGAGAATTTATGGAGGATTTTATTTTTCTCATGTACAGTTAAGTGAGCGTGCATTAACAAGGCTGAAAATGAATGCTGGACGCATGAGGCATGGATGAGAGACAGACAGAGATACTGCGCCTTTGTTAGTTTTTAGAATGGTCTACGGCTCACAGTAGCCCATTCTAAATTGGATAACGTCCCGTAGCTTAATTCAGGAAGAATATTTTTTATTTATCAATAATTAAAAATTTCAGGGGACCACATATGGCGTCTGGACCCCATTGTTAGAAATAAATCAAACACTGTTATTTTACTGCTCAACTAAAAGAAAATATGCTGCTCCCATGCCCCTTAACTTACCTCCACCCTTACTTCCCCATTCCTCTCTTTCCCCTCGCTTCACCCTTCCCTCACTCCCTTCACTCTAGTCTTCCATCTACCCTCCTTTCACCTCTGAAAAAACAGAGTTATAGAACAATCATAGGACAGGGAGACAGAGGATGACAAAGCAAAAAGAAGAAATTAAGAACAAGTCGCGTTTGACAGACACATAAAAAGAGAAAGAGAGAGCGCACGCAGGGAGGACCCAACCTGTCAGCCCACTCTTTCACCATCTTGTCTTTGTTTTCTCCCAATTGTGTTAAAACGACTGTCATCCTGGGAGAATTAAGAGGCTTAAGACTCCTACACATCTCAGAACTACAAAAATCTTTATTGATTTTCCTTTTTTTTTTAAGGGAAAAACAAGCACAATGGCAGGAAGTATAGCATCCAAAGTTTTGTGAATCAGCTTTCTTCCAAATAACATAACAAAAAGAGTTGTTGCAGTTTCTTTGAATGCAGAAATGTTGCCATTGCACATGCATATCTTAGTGATTTCATGAACTTGGGATCTTTCAGCAAGTGTTAGACATCTGAACTTAAATCACAAAATGAGGACAGTTTTATTAATAGAGCCCCAAATCAAAATAAGAATTGTATTGAAAAAGGAGTGAAAAAGCGTCCTTTTAACGGGCAGAAACCTCGAGCAGAATTGGACTTTAGGTGGTCTTCCATCTTTCTAAAGGTTTGGCAAAGAAAGGGAAAAGGAGAACACGAAGTGGCAATACCATTTAGATAATTATAATAATGCTATCAGTGATTACACTGACAAAGGTGGCCTTCATCACTTCATCACTTTATCAAACACATCATTAACTGTTAAAAATGACATTCCTTTTCTCTCTCTCTCTCTCTCTCTCTCTTCCAGAGCCTTTCCCTGCCTTAACGCCTGGCATAACCAGTAAGTTCTACTTCCTGCTTCATTTGTACTTCCTGTGCCAAATGTCTGTGCTTTCTGCCTGTTGCTTAGCTCAGCTCACAGCACTGCACTGGCCCCTGAGAAACCTTGTTATAACATGTGTTAAGAGCTACATTGCTTCACATATGTTACAGGTAACGGATACATACACATCAATTACAAACGTTTCTTTCAAAAATGTTCCCATCAAGTCTCCTATTGTTTCCACACAAGCCTATATGTTGGTTCTTTAACCTATGTTGTTTTTATTACAAATCAACACGTGGACATTTACAAATTTTAAATCAGTCTCAACGTCATGTGTTCACAATCAACCTTTGAATAAGTAGAGGTGACAACATTGCAACCTGATGGAATGGAAGCACTGCATTGTTCCAGCATGACTTGCTGCATGCTGTGCTCTCACACTCTTGGTAATGCAGTTTGGTTTGTTCCTCGGTCTAGACATGATATTTCCCCAAATTATAAAAATAGCTGCACATGATTATTTACAACAACAAAAAACTTTGGCAGATGGCAAACATAACATGTGAAATTGCAACATGGTAAAAACGTCTGGGATTATTTTCACATTACACAGTCTGATAAGTGTTGAGTAGAGAGCACCATGTTGAGTGAGATCTGGTAAACATGAATGCAACATCGCTGGTAATTCTCAAAAGGGAGACTGTGGTTTGAATGGAAGAGTGTTGTAGCATTCAAGAATTCATTTTTTCTTTTTGAAGGTCTTTAGTCAGTCTTGTTTCAGACTGGACGTCCTTTAAATCGGGACCGGTCAAGACAGACACTGAAAAGCTAGTTTCCAAGTTCATTACTGTGATTGGATGGAAAATGTCTGTTTCTAAAAGAACGATTAACTTTAATTAATTCATAATTTCATTTATATTCATTTTTGGTGATATATATGGTCTTGGTCTTGACTCAGTCTTGTCCTGCCTTGGTCTTGGTCTTGACTAGGTCTCGATCCCTAAATGTCTTGGTCTTGTCTTGGTCTCGGAGCACTCCGGTCTTGAGTATGTCTTAGTTAGTGTGGCCTTGACTACATCACTAGAATGGACCAGGTTTTTGCTGATATGTAGAACAACTTTATAGTGACACAAAAGAAAACATTCAAACCATGAGGCCTTGGTTCTCAGACAAAGTAAATTTGCTTTTCATTTTCTTAAAGGTAACTCAATAACTTCACCCTTGCTACTTTTTTATTATAGAGAACAGCTCACTCACTCATCATCCACTCCTCTATCCTGATTTGCTCACAACAGAAGCTCTCTCTCTCTCTCTCTCTCTCTCTTATTCTCTCTCTCTCTCTCTGCTTTCAACACCATAAAAGGAGTCTTGTCTTTCTTCCTCTATCTCTTCCTCTTGTTCCCATCTTCTGTACTTTTGGTATTTCACACCTCCCTCCTCTGTGCTTCTCTACTTTCATCAAACCTATCTCTTGCTATCCACTCCCTTGTTTACATTTTTCTCCTCTCCTCTCCTCTCCTCTTTTCCCATCTCTCCGCTTCTCTACTTCATTTTCACAAGCTGCTGATGCCACCTGAATGAAATGCAGAGTTGATCACCATCCAACTTTTCTTTTCTTTTTTTTCTCTCTGCTTCACCCTCAATAGGCCAGTCTGAAGGCAGATAAAAAAAAGGGCTTAGGCAGATTATGCTACTGGATCTCTTGTTTTCAAAAGTCTGGGTTTGGACTTGTATTGCTTGCTTTTGAATTGCTTTTGTTTAGAAACCATCATAATATGAGCTCAATATGCGCCGTGCTGACACGAATGATCCTGAATTTAACCTCTGAGAGTCAAATATAACCAGACTTTTAGATGTATTTTACACCTGGTGAATTATATCCACATTTAACACCAATGGTTTGGACCAGGTTAAAACTGGAATACTCGTCTATTTCTTTTATTATTATTATTATTAAAGAACTGGGAGTGATGATGTCTTTGATGCTATAGGTAAAAGCTAAATATTTATTATTAATCATTCTCTTAGTTTGCATTGATATAGCTGTTGCTGTGTTCCTATTTTAGTCACTCAATGTGTGTGTGTGTGTGTGTGTGTGTGTGTGTGTGTGTGTGTGTGTGTGTGTGTGTGTGTGTGTGTGTGTGTGTGTGTGTGTGTGTGTGTGTGTGTTCCTAGTGTGTGAATAGATGAAAAACATTCCTCAAATACTGTCAGATACTTGAGCAGCGCTTGCTTTTTTTCTGCCACACTTCAGTTCAATAAAGACTGAAATGCCATTCCCAAAAATAGTCAAATCCAAGAGCCGAACGCAGAAACCTCTAGTCACCTGACTCAGACACAACTCCTCCATTGTGACGTCTGTTGAAAGCTAAGTACTAAAATGGTTCTCTTTGGATGGGCGGCCAGATATAGTTAAAATATTTTTACAAAGAACTGCATATATCAAAATGATATATATATGGATGCTTCAGTTGTGGTTTTTGTGTGTTTGTGGGTCTTGATGTGGAAACTAGAAGGGTCAGACTGTAACTCACCGTCCACCTATTTCCTCTCAGTCTACCCAAGAATGGTCTTATTTTCCCCATTTATTCAAATTACGAAAAGTGCAGACTGTCATGTCGAAACTTGAGCAAGAGAACCAAAGATGCTAAAGCGCTCAGTGCTCTTCTATCGTTGTTGGGCTATAGGGGGATGGGATTGTGCTAAGGCATCCCAGTTTGCCATCAAGCCTATATGGGCGAATCTGAACCCTAACAGTGATCGGAAAAACTCTTTTATAGTCTAGATTTCAATTCAGTCAAACATAGCTTGAAGTCTTTCCAGCTTACAGCAACTTTCTTTCTCTCCAATATATAAAGTGTGTTTAGAGTAGAGCCCGACCGATTAATTTGCCTGCTGATAATATCGGCCGATATTAGCATATACAGTCACTATTGGTATCGGCTAATTTCAGCACAGATAAGCGCCGATATTGCTAAATTTATTCACAAGTCAAATAGCATTTCATTTGAGTTTCATTGTAATACTCTAGCAGTATTATTTCACCGGAAGAGTGTGCTATATGGATTGAAAATTCATTATCACTCTCCAGATTGTCAAGCGGTGACGCACATACATCCACAGTTATTTCCAGTTGAGTGACCATCTTGTCTTCATAATTATTTCCAGTGTTTGATTACTGCATTGGATGGATCAACACAATACATGTGTATATATCTATACCTATCTATCAAACATAGAGCTAAGAAAGTTATCGGCCGATATATCAGTATCAGATTTTATTTATGCCCAATATCGATATCGGTATCGGCTCTGCACAGACTTAAAGTAAAAATGTCTTTATTCAGTGATTTTGAAGTTCTATTTGGCAAAGTTCCTTGAAAGCAACTCGTTTTTAAGCATACTTCAGGACTGGAGCTGTTAAGAAATGTTTCCTCTTGTTGCCCTTTGGATTAAAGCAACGTAGCAGCTGTTTTTTTTTTTGCAGTCATGGAACTCATCTGTGTCTTAATCCACTGGTGGGAAGTCTCTCTGTGCAGGGTGCTTAGAGCGAAGCTTCACAATGAAAGCACATTTTAAACCTTTAAAGAGTATGTCTGAACTTTAAAAAAAAAGGCTAAATTAAGCTCACTGGTTTTCTATGCACCTCTACTTCCTCTGTCCTACTGCCTCTCCTCTCTCTCTGTCTCCGTCTAATACTTGATGGCCTTGTTTTAGCCTATTTCCTCTCTCTTTCTTTCTTCCTCACATTCTTTCAATCTCTAGTTTTTTTTCTTCGTCTGTCTTTCTTCCACAACCTCTCTCTCAGCGGGTTTCTTTCACAGTGAGTTGACACAGTATTGAAGTTTCAGACAGACCCTCTAATGCAGGATTAAAGATATCATGGCAGGATTAGCTCGCTCCCTTCACTTTCAATCCCTCCCACCCGCTCCTTTCACTTTCTACTAACCCTCTCTATTTCACTCCATTCTTTCCTCCGTTCATTCTTTCCTTAAAGCCTTCTCTCTTATCCTTTTTCTACCCCTGTAATTTCCCCTCTTTTCCTCAACCTCCCTTTCTCCCTCCACTCAATTCCCTTCAATGTGATCTTGCCCTGATAAACAAGCACTTAACAACTCCCCACCCTTTGAACGGATCGGCAGTCACTGCATAATCAAAGCTTTGCATTCTGTGATGGGAATCTGGACGCATGGCATGAGCCTTTGCGTGTCAATGTGCAGCTTATGCTTGTGATGTTTGCATCAACCATAATGAGTAAAATCAGCATTATCAAAATATATGCATCAGCTGTTTTATGGAAAATGAATACCTCAAATAAATGAGTATTTGATATTTGATTTCATGAAAGAAACAGGGAAAGTAAGCTAAATAAGTAAAATGACAGTCAGTTTATTTGCCTGCTGGTGAGACTAGATATCATCTCTATTGCATTTAAGCAGGGACAAATAATTTCATCTTATGCCGCTGTAATTGACCATTGACTAAGTCTCAACCCCTTTAGTTTCTATTAGTAGACCTGTCAAGCTTTAGATTATAGCACAGCATGTTACATGGATAAGGAATTCAGATATAACACTCAGTATTCTTTACTAGTGAATTATAGATAAAGGTAGACTCAACTAGGCAAGCCATCTTAGTTATCTTTTGTCCACAGAAGTGATAGAATAGTCGGCTCAAACTAGATAGCCTTTTTTCGTTAACATTTCTGGTTGACTCAAGAACCTTGCAAAGATGCTCATTGATAGCTTTTAAGCCCCAATGATAGCTGAAAGCTTGATGTCCAAGGGAAAAGTCAGCTCCCTAACCATCTAGTGATCCATGTAGAAGACGAGTCTAGTCAGACTTGAGTCGTACTCATGTAAGGCTTCTTTGCAGGCATTCTTGTTTGTATTTCAAATGTAGCCCTATGCACAATAAGTCAGAATGTAGGAACATCCAAAGCTTGACAGACCTACCTTTCCTTGCTACAGTTGCATGGGAGATTTCTAAATGGTTGTCAGGGTAAGGGGTTAAGTGAATGGTCAAAAATATCATTTACAGCATTTTGCATGCCTGCCCCAATCCATAGTGCCAACCAGTAATGTGTCCTCCTGCCCTCCAGGGGGTGCCATGTCTGGGATGGAGCCCACAGTAGACACAGTGGCAGTACAGCCTCTCCCTGCCTACTGGTACTATGTGTTGGCGGGAGGCGGTGCCCTTTTGCTGCTGGTCACCGTAACCGTGGCGGTGATTCTGTGCTGCCATCGGTACCACTGGGCGACCCAGAAGACCAGCAGCAGTCATCATCATTCAGTGATGTACCACAACAGCCAGCATCCAAATCTGCAAGGTCACCAAAACTGCTACCAGAACCAAAACCTCAACTATAATCTGATCCACTGCCCCAACCAAAACCACCTGTACCCAAGTACTGGGCCAAGTGTTGACCCCATGTTGACCATCAAACTGGAGAAGGATGACAGCTTTGACCCCCAGTGTTGAGAACAACTGGACACGCTCTGAATAGTATCATTTTAAGGGTGTGAAAACTTCCTGATTTAAAGGATCTACAGCAGTATTCCAAATAGTCTCAACTCATTGCTGATGAAAATCAACAAGGCAGAGACGCTGCAATTCCTGCTAATGAAGATTGATCTAATAAACTGATGCAAGATGCAACTTGTTAACTTTCATGGTTGGCTGCAACTGGCAAAATGAACTCCTTATTAAAGTTAACCAACAGCCCTCAATGGGGAGATGGCACATTTTGGGATGCACTTACTGACTTACTGACTACAGCCGCACCTGATAAGAAAATGGATTATGATCAGAGAAAGAAGGAAATCATACAGCAGGCTGACTTACAGACTGTGAACATAGGTATACGCATTGTTCAACGTCAGCCTATTTTACCCTTCTACAAGGATATGTCGGCCGTGCTGTGATCTGCAGCTTGGGGACTACCTGTTTCTAAACACCCTGCCAACAGAGAGGAGATTTACACACAGGTACAGGGAGACAGAAGTCAGGGTGTATGCTGCATAAAGAGAGAAAAAGCTATTTCCTCAGCTGTCTGAACGAAGCGGCTGTTTGTTTGTCCACTGGCCTTCGAGGGACTCGGAGTGACAGGGACAGATTAAGAGTATAACAGGAAAAGGTGAAGGGAGAATTAGTGTTGTCTGTCCAGCCGTGACACAAAGACAGCTACACATCCTCTGTGAGTGGCCTCTTTGGTCCGTGGACTGGGGAGGAATCAGTGTTGTGCTGTTCTCTGTCTGGTTTACATGAGGGGGAAGGGGGACAGGACGACTTACATTGCATCCTTCAAGAGCTAAAACACACACACAGTCTCTGCAACAACACACACCTCAAAGCCCCATACACACACAAATATGCACGGACAGCTCACTGGCTAATAATTGATTCTCTCTTGTTGCCAAGAGTGTATTTTCAGTACATAGTGATATGCCTTTTGAATTGTGCTTTAAATCTATTACTGTACCTCCAGAATGAGGGAGTGCCTGAGTGTCATATTAAACAGTTTTTTTTTTCTTTATTTGGATTGTGTGAGGTACTTCTCTTCAGTAAGTGTATTAGCCACGGGAGATGCAGGTCGGCCATGCTGGGGCTGCAGGCACAGGAACATGAACATGTTGCGTCTCAAAATAGTGCTAAAACAAAGTGGCTCACTGATAACACTGTAACGAGCTGAACATTTACTAAACTAGTTAATGTGGTTAAACTGACCTCATCTGCAGTCCTGTATAGCGTATCTTATGTGTCAGTCCTCTGAATGGTTTCTCAACAATACAATGATGACCGGCATCTCCTGCGGCTAATATACTTATATTGACAAGAAGCTCATACAACCCCATTTCAAAAAGAACTATCCTTTAAAGTGTGAATGGATGCTGTTTATGCCTGGATCTCGTGGATAATCCAATGCCTGTATCTGTTAATGTTCAAACAAAACAACGTTGTATGTCCTGCACTCATTAGACAGCTTGAATGAAACAAATACAAAAGCCTTTTTATCGACTTTCCAAAGCTGCTGCTTTACTTTTTTGTTGGTACATACCCCATGACCATCAACACATTTTCTGTGTTATGATAGAAGACACTTTAACAATTTGATAATCCAGAATATTCTGCATACTAGCCTGGTTAACTGAATTTTGGTGTCTACTTGGTTGCAAAATATGTGTACGTTTTGCTTCTATTCAACAAGTGTGACCAGACATTCAGGAAAACAGCTGATCCCAAATCACTGGTTAGTTCATCGATCATTTGAATCACCATAGTTTGACAAATAAGCAGAATTTATTGTTACACACCTCATACTGATTTATCAATGTTTTCATATTTCAATGTTTTATCAATCATTTCATTTACTGTGTGTTTTTGCATTTTATTATTTTTCTTGATAAGTTCCCACATTTATACAGTAAAGACAAGTTTGCATAGAAATATGTACATTAAGTGTGATATGATGCACAACAGTTTTTATGTTATTTTAAGTTGTTGAGAGTAACTAAGGCACTTTTTCGCTCCTTAATAATCTTTTATTGAAGGCTTTGATGATTTATGAAAATGTCTTAACCTAACTGTGAATCATGATAGAAACACAGAAGTTGAGGTCGGTACTGGTTGTGAAATACATGCCGCTGTTTTCTTTGTAATCACACATTTTAGGTCTGTTTGTGCTTTTTGGTGTATTATAGTAATACAGTGTTGTTTTTTTATACTCTTTGATTTTGTTTTCTGGATGATCTTAACTTTCTTGATTTTTATTTGATGTCAAATGCTTAAGTGGATGAAGCCATTTGTAAAGGCACGTGTCTGAAGCATCAAGGTGAAAATCAAACAGGGACGTGCAAAAGATGCAAACCAATGTGTTTTTTCAATTTATTTGGATGGAAAAACTAGAAATGTATAGATAAACACTATTGGTTTGGGATTGAGAGGCTCACTTTCACCTTTTATTCAGATTCATGTCTGCGGAATCGAGTACACCTCTGTGGATCTTATTTTTCTGGGATTCTTAGCAGCTCACAATCTTGCGTTGTGTGCTTTTCCCCTACATCATTTTGTTCATGCCCCAATCCCCCAGCCCTTTTATCAAAACACTGCTTTTTCTTATTCTACTCCTTCCCTTCATTGCAAATCCTCCCAGCAACAAAAAAAAAACACAGGAGAGGAAATGAGAGGCAGAAATGGAAGAGAGCAAAACCTCTCAGAGGAGAAGGGCCCATTAAGCGAACCCCGTTTTCCTCCAAAGAATGCGCCCAGAGATGGAGGAAGATGAAAGAAGTAAAGAAAAAAAAAAACAGCTCTATGCTTTCTAAAGATAGATTTTTTTTTCTCTTATACTCTGAGAGGAGGGCTAGCAGTGAGGCAGGTTAGGGGTTTGGATTGAAGGAGGGGGAGAATTAAAGGAGGAGGGCAGGTTGTTTCAAACACAAAAGCAGATGAAAGAGGTCTTTTGGCAGAATACACTGTGTGATGGAGACACATAAGCACAGCACGCACACAGTCCCACACACAATGCTTCTCTGTATGAGCGAGAAAATCTATCAAAATCAGTAATTTAATCATCGTTTCATGTGTGTTCAAAAAGTGCACCTACTCTGCAGCACTGCACAATCGACTTATTTCATCGAATTGTGTCTCATAAAATGTGCTTATGTGCCTTAGTCAACAAGTATTTTAGTTATTTGGTGCTTGCATATCCATCGCCTCTGCCTTCCCTTTCAATCGACTTGTGTATGATTTACACATTATGTTACTCATTCTAGCAGCCCTCTGCTCTAACACAATCAATAGGAGCCCCAAATTCAAATGGAGAAATGATATATGACTGTATTTATGTTGTGCTACCCGTGCACTTTTCTCTTCCATTCTCTCTCCCTCTGTCAAACTTTTTGCAAGATTTGGAAAATGTACTGGCGCCTTCTCATGCAGTGCTTTTAAATCAACCTCCCCTCTCTCGCCTCTCCATCACAGACTACTTTGAAGCCATTTAATATTTCCAATTAGTTAATGGAGCTGATTGCATTCATAAAAACCCCTGCAGTAAGCACTTCTAGCCCTCAGGCCATCTCTAGTTTTTTTTTTCTTTTCTTTTTTCGTGCAGCCTCCTCCTCTGTGTTCTGGAGAAATATTACGAGTGAAAGCACTCTAACAGGTCCTCGGGCCCCCACTGCAGCAGTATATGGTGCCAAAGAGCCATCCATGCCTGTGCCTGGCTAAAAAAAAAAAGGGGCCGCCTTTTTTATGCCTCTCTTTACTAATTGGACAGTGGAGACAAAATGGGACTACGGGGAGTTTTAATCTCCTTTCAGATCCGCATGATGATGCTTTTCAGGATCCTAGCCTGAGGGCTTTAAGCCAGGATCATTAGAAGTGTTCAAGAGTCGCCCAAGGAGTGTCCGAGCATCTATCTTATATTATCCCGCTTCTTTTTTTGCTATGTCTCCATTGGTGATTAACAGTTGAGGAAGGAGAATTTAGAGCCTGGAGGGTTCTGTTGTTGGCTGTACATTTCTAAAACTGTAGGACAGAATAGAAGACGGATCAGATGCTTTTATGTACACGTGATAACCAGAGTCTTACATGAAGGGTGCATTTCAATCAGACCTCCTTGAAATACTACAACTTACAGTGTAAATATACTGGAAACAGCCATATCCAGCCGATCAGGTATCCATTATGTAGGGATAACCCTGCTCAAGAAACTGAGTTGATTAGTTTTACATTGAATAACATCACCAAATAATCATTTGGTTGTGTGGTCGCAGTTTTTGCCAATAATATTGGAGTCATTTTCACAATCCAAAGGGTACTTTGAGGTTTTGCATGCATCTTTTGATACGCCCGTCTGGTTAGTTATGTATTCTTTAAACAACTGTATTTCATGCCTTTGTTATCCAGACTCATTAATGTGGCTTCACATTAGTGGTACAGTACAACCACATGTTGAGTTTATAGGAAAGCAACCTTGATGATGTCATTTTTATCAAATGAGTTTACAATATGTAAATGAAACTGTTTGATTTATTCTTCTAATATTTTGTTTTTGTATGGATCAGGAAGATTTGTTGTCGCTGGAAGCTGCATTGACAGATCTTTCTGAAACATTGTCTCAGCAAGGGTTGAACATCAATGAGATTGCATATAAAACTTGTTTGGTTTACACTCACTGATACTGAATACAACCTTTAAAGTGGGTAAAATGCTTAAATGTTCATCCCTGGCGTCTGTCATATTTATTTCCGTGCACTTTTCGCTGCCTCAGTAGAGGAAAGACTTTGACTTTTATGATTGTCTTTTTCACTCGCTATGGATTGCACTGTCAAGCACTTCAAGCAAATTAAATATTGAACGAGAGACAGAGCCAATAGAGGCATCTTTACTCGCAGTCAAATAATTAAATAAGCAAACTCTCCACATCGAACAGTGGAGGGAAAAACACTTCAAATTGCAGAATCTTTGTTTGTTACTACGGAGGACTCCATGTCTTTCTTTATCGTCTTATTCAGTTTGGAAGCCAATTCTGAGTTTAAACATTTCAACATGCGATTATATTTCTTAATTCTAAAGAAATGACCTCATATATTATCCATTTGCTGATATTTTCACATCACAGGTAGGATTTATTTAAAAGCATAATCTCTTAATATTATTTAAGAGTATTGGAAGTTCTTAAAGTCGGTATAGTCTTGCTCATGTTTAAATTGTCTCATAAAATTTTTGACCTTATCTAAAACAGGAAATTAGGCTCTGTATCTTTTTCCAGATCACCTAAATTGGTTTCTCACCTCTTGTCTGTTGATAATCTATTAGAGTCTCATTTCATGATGTGTTTTTGGTTCTTCTGCCCCAGCAATAAACGATTATTGCCCCCCCCCCCCCCCCCCCCCTATTGAAATATCAATTTCCTTAAATAAAACAGAATTGAGCTTCCAGACCTTTCAAAGCTTTGCACTTCAGCCTGCCTGGGAAGTATAATGTGGTATATTAGCTTGTTGAATTTCATGGTCTCTGAGTAAAAAGAAAATGTATTGTGTGGAATGTGAAGGTAATAAAAGTGATATTTTTTTATGAAACAGTTTTGTGTGTGTGTGTGTGTTTCTTTTTTTTTCTCACCTTGGTATACAATTCTGCTCTCTTGTCTCTCCTCCGTATCTTTCTGCTGATTCTCTCAATCTCCTGACTCTGGTTTCATTTCTAAGCAAATAAAAAAGAGCACTGATGCTTATCACATAATGAAACTTCCTCGCTTTGAGCAGGTAGTGTCGCTGAAATGTTTGGTAATCTACAGTGTTATGTTCCCTTGATAGACCGAGCAAAGAATAAAAGGCTTTGTGGGGAGATCTGTACCGCTGATCTCCTCAGAAAGTTTAAACCACATCACTCACTCTTTGAGCCTTTTTTTTTTTGTTGTACCTTGATTTCCTCCTACAAATAAGCTGACAGTGCAAAAAAGATTGAGACGTGTTATCATGACATGTGTCAGACTTGACTGAATGGTTGGGATTGATTGTGTTATTCTTCTTTCTGTCTTTTTAACAGACCCCAGGCCTATGGATTTCGAAAAAGATCCCGTTTTCAACCACAAGCCCCCCATCGATGAAGGTGAGTCTTCTTTTCTTCTTCTGCTCTCCCTTTTCTCTGCCTGAGGCAATACCGGCTGTTTTACAAGTCTAACCCAGAGAACAGTGGAAAAGCTCTTTAGGCGGAGGCATGCCCACGGCTCTCCGTTCTACTGGTAGTTCCACGAGGATGAATCCAGTGGGAACAGTGACAGATGATCTCCGGTGTGTGTGTTAGTGTGTTTGTGTGTGTAAACGGGGCAGAGTGTGATAGGGCATTCAAAAGTGTGTTCATGTGGGCATGCCAGTGTGTGTTTCCCTCTTCATCCTCTTTCATATTCCATGGCAGACAAAGTGAGACAGACAGCTTCCTCCTGGGCACCTCCAAAACATCCGTCTGTTACAATCACTCTTTACGTCCTGTGTGTGTGTGTGTGTGTGTGTGTGTGTGTGTGTGTGTGTCTGTCAATATCATGTGTGTGAGTGTGTGTGTGTTCCCCCCTGACAGATACAAGAAGAGTACTCAGCCTTTACCTCACTGTTTACTGCCTTCCCTGTTTGTGTGTGTGTTCTTCCATAAAACACTCTAAATGCACTACTTAATTGCGGATTGGCTTGTTCATGAGTATACATTCATTAAGTGGATTAGCATGATTGCTTATGCCAACTAGATGCGCACACTTCAGCACACACGAGACACCAGAGAGCACCTTTACTGTAATTCTTTTCATTATGTTTCCGTATTTCTGAAGTCAATAACAACTGGGGCTGTGGTGAACAGAATTAGCTGTTCTTGAATATATCAGCGATAATGTGGAACATTTTCCTCTTCAATTAATTTCCCCAAAGTAAGACTGTGGTACTTTGGAGAAAGGGAAGACCACATTTATTTTTTTATTATAAAGAAAAAAACCTCCCTGCTTATAATAAATAGGTTTATAAGTTAGGGCTGTGTTGCTACTGCTAAACTAGCTTGTATAATGCTTTTCTAGACTTCTGACTACTGCTCATTTTACAAGGTCACACCCGTTCACACACATGGCAGATGCTGCTATGTAAAGTGTCCGTCAGTATTAAATACTCTATTAATGCTCATTCAAACACAGCTGACACAGCAGCAGGATTAAGTGTCTGAGGACACATTGACATGTGGTGGCAGGAGCTGGTTGGTCCTTTCATAGAGCATTCACACTACCAAATCAATGTGGACAACGGGCGTCCTAGACCCCCGCCTGAGTGATAGGATCTCAATGAGTCCTCAGGATACATTTAGGTGTGTTCACACCAAACATCAAGGCTGTCTACTTGTGATCTGATCACCCAGGAGGGACGTTAACGAAAGGTGTAAAAAGGGCAAAACCTCTAAACCAGCTCGTCAAATGCTGATGCTTTGGAAAGGTGCTACCTATCGTTACCGTTATTCCTATACCCAAAGGAGCATCTGTTCCGTCTCTCACATGGTTTAGTTTTGACACCAGACTTCAAGCGAAGTTTCTTGGTGAAAGCCCTTTGTTGTTCGGCTCATCCATTCTCCTGCCAAACCGAGCAGATTGTCTCAGTCTTTTCTACTCAGTCACTGATAACAGTTTGTGAAGTAGAATTGATGCATTGTCTGTTGGATATTTCTCTGATAGAGCTGTTTTGAAAAGTATCCTGTTTTTTTTTTTTTTTCAGGGTATATTTTTCCCGGATGGCCTTCTTCTTTCTCCACCCCGTCCTCCTCTGATGTGGACCCCCCCTCTGTGACCCTGGTTTCCGAGAAGGACAAGGACAACGCCTGGCTGTACACGTTGGACCCCATCCTCCTCACCATCATTGTGATGAGCTCGCTGGGCGTCCTGCTCGGTGCAGTTTGCGCGGGACTGCTCCTCTACTGCACGTGCTCCTACAGCGGGCTTTCCTCGCGCTCCTCCACGACGCTGGAGAACTACAACTTCGAGTTGTACGACGGAATTAAGCATAAAGTAAAGATAAATCAGCAGAGGTGCTGCTCAGAGGCATGAAGAGGCAACAGAGACGGTGGGGGAAGACATTACCAGTGATCCCCTGCAAAAGTAGTTATGTTGTCGGTCAATGAAAAGACTGAAAGGAAGCACTGTCTGTTATTTCAACCCCAGCGTCCCCTTCCTAATACCCTGCTCTGATGTCTCAAGGGGAAACTTTCAACACTGAGTTTCCCCACCTTTTTTGTGCCAGAGGGGACTTTGATCTCCCCTATAAACTAAGAGACTTGGGGAACAATGACCAAGTCTCCCTTTCCTACAGTACTATCTCCTCCGCCTGCAGGAGAGAGCCTGCTTGATTCTAAAATCCTGTGAATGAATGAAGGAATGAGTAGATGAATTATGAATGACAGATGTACCATTGAAAATAACCTACCAGCCACTGCAATGAAGCTAGGAATGAGATGGGACAACAGCACCTATGACAATCTGGACATTTGGAACCACAAATGACAGCAGAGGCTGGGCTGTTTGGTGAAAATGGTGGAAATTGGATTCCTAATGAAGAAGAGAATCTCACTGACATGTACCCCTGACTAAGAGCGATGTGAAATTTTCTTTAATTTGAATGTGGTCACTAGAGATGGCATGCAGAAATCAAAAAGTTGCAGCCTCTGACTGTTGGTGAAGGCTGCAGTACCAGTAGGTACTTTTGACTGAAATCAACACATATCAAGAGAATGCTTAACCCCTAAAGAAGTTTAAAAGATATCAAACCACAGAACTAGAATGAATCAAGATTTCTAACGGCGGAGAAGGAGAAGAGGATGAAAAAGGACCTTTTTGGTTTTTTTTGGTTTCTTAAGTTTTAGATATATTTCTGGGAGCTCCAATGTCCATTAGCCTGCCATACGGCGCTTGCTCGCTCCTTTGTCCGCCCTTGGTCTGCGCTTTGTGAAACCAGTGGCATAGAAGAGTATTGGTGACTGTTTTTGTTTTGTTTTAGACTTGTGTCAGCTTGGGGGAAAAAAGGTTAAGAAAGCTTCAGTTTGTAGCCGCCCTGTAGTGCTCTTGCGACATTTTTTTTTTAGACTTTCTTTAGCATCGTGTTGGACTCCATGGTCCTTACTGTTACTTTAGTCGTTTTCTCTTTTGACACATTTTTCCACTACAGATTATCAGTCTTTACAAAGAATAGAGGAACGTTAAAGGAAGATGAAGACAGAAAATCAGAGGTTTATCTAAATCTAACATGCTGTTATGGAGTTGTGCTTTAGATTCAGTATTCTAGAGTTTGTCTTTGGTATATATCTATATTTTTTTGCTTTTCAGACTGTATGATGCCCAAATGAGGGACAGACACTGTGTGAAAAAAAAAAAATGTCAGTGATTGTTTTATTGCAACCTATGGATTGCCAAAGAGCGGTGCTTGTTCACAGGGGGGCTGAACAAGTGTTAGAAGAAGGCAGAAAAATGGACTCAGATCGCTAAATCAGCCTGCCTTTTGTCCAACATGCTATTTGTCTCCCCCTGAATGAAGGACACTCAAACAGAAGAGGAGGAATGACTACAGGAGGAGAACAAGAATCGTACCGACGACTTTCTTGGACACACAATCGAGCCTTAAGCTTACTACAGTATACGCTGTATCGGAGGACAGCCATCGAGGAGGGCCAGTGCTGCTGGAGAGACTGTTGAACCAGAGGAGACACACCCCAACACACACACACACACACACACACACACAACACACACACACAGACGAAGATTAACAGACAGGGAGAAAGAGAAAGAAAGGGAATAAATATGGTGTTTATGTTTAAATGCAGGAGAAGTCGCATTGTCGGGATAGTTGCATTTCTCCCACAACTTTTTCTCGCCTGCAGCAACTTGTGCATCAGTTAAATTTTCAATTAATTTCATGAGATGAATTTCTCAACAAAGTCAATCAAAGACCATAAAAGGTTTCTATAAATATATGAACAAAGGAGCTTGTAGGCAGGTGATTCTCTGCATGTAAACATTATTAATTAGATACTCAGCTGATGGTTGCTGAGGACAGAGAGCTGAGAGATATACAAAATGAAACACAAAATGAAGCTGTCAGCATCACTACGTTGCAGCATCACAACGCAGAGAGGCAACAAAAAACGAGACAACAAAATAAATGAAAAACAAAAATAACAGGACAGAACTAAGACAGAAAGGACCCAGACATCGTTTCTTAAATTTGTTTCTCATTCTTCTCGGCCTCAGCAGATGTTTTTTTTTTTGTAAAATATTTATATAATCAGGTTCAGTTGGTGTGCTCTGTGGGGCAAATAGAAACAGCAAAATGGAAGAAAGAAAAAAAAAGACTCCAACATGTCACAC